ATGAGGTAGAGAGAAACAGTCAAGCTGTTCCAGATGGCAGGATCTGACAGAGGAGGCCAGTGCGGGTTAGCAGGAGAAATGAGGATGGGGAGATGGGAGAAATAAGGTCCAGGAGAGAGCACATTCTTAGCCCAGATGATAATCAATTCTGAATCATATCATAGAGTGGATAAGGAGGCATCAGAGGAGAATGCCGGAGGAGCTGGGAGACTAGACAGAGACAGATGGCAAGGTGCAGAGGGACCTGAGCAGAAAATTTGAAGCCATCAAAAGAAGAGCAGTCACATTCAGAACAATGACACTGAACTCAATGGCTGATACAGAATCCTAAGATTAAAAGAATGGGAACACAGGAAATATTTTTCCTCTTCCATTAAAGCCAAAGATAATTCGATGTATTGTTGAAGTTGATGGAGATTACACACAGAAGATAAATTTCTGAACAGAAAAAGTTTTAAACACTGGATGCGTGTTGGAGAGTTTAAAAAGACTCAGAGGTCACTTGAATACCCTCTGAAAGATTACCAGACACATGGTGAGACTGTTCATCTTGGAGAGAATTAAGAAGAAGATTGCTGGCTGTCTAAGACGGTTGTTTCACTTCCCTCAGGAGACAAGTCCTAGATTAATGTCTGACCTTCCCTTTCAAGCATGATGATTCCATGACTGGAGGAAGTATAAGGAGCAAAGACTGAGAGGAAGAGCCTTTAAGTTCTGTTTGGTGCCAGTGGATCAAGTGAGGCCCAGGAGCGCTCAGACAGGAGAAGAGAAGAAAGGCTACGGAGGTTGGGGGCAGAAATCAGGAAGGAGAAAGAAAGTGTGCACGGCAGGGGGCAGTGGGGTGCCAGCCGCAAACTCAGACACCCCACTGGGACTGAGGTCAGTGGGGCTGCCTGGAGCAAGCTGATGGGAAAGGGACAGGGAAAGTTTCCTTTATTCTAGGCCATATGCATGTCTGGGAAGACAGAGGAAGAGGAGGCAAGGAGAGCATAAAATGACACTTAGGCCAGCTATGGTGAATGATCTTGGCATCTACACTAAAGTGAAGGCAGAGATTTTGGGACGTGAGACCTGAGCCAGTAGAGAGAAGATGAGGAGATAAAGCGAATGGAGGCCAAAACCAAAAGGTAACCGGAGCCACATGTTCCCTGTAGAGTACCAGTAAACATGTGTTGGCTGATGCTGACTTTAGCAGACAGAAGAAAATGTGTGAAGAAAAATGCCATTGCCTGTGGGGCATTGAAGCTCTGATCTCTGAACTAAAAACAGTGGCTCCTGAGAAAGAACCGGGGTCACACTAGTCATCGCTACAGAAAATGGTCCTTTGCCTAAGGAAAATGAAAAGGTGAAAGTGTCAGTCACTCTTTGTGAGCCCATGGACTGTAGCCCAACCAGGCTCCTCTGTCCATGGAATTCTCCAGGCAAGAAGCCTAGAGTGGGTAGTCATTCCCTTCTCCAGGGGATCCTCCTGACCCAGGGATTGAACCCAGGCTGCCTGCCTTGCAGGTAGATTCTTTACCATCTGAGTCACCAGGAAAGCCCTAGGAGGCCAACCCATTTCAAGGAGAAGGATACAGTCATGACCTGAGAAAAAGAATAAAGGCTGTAGAAACTGTGCAAATATATTCCCTTTTCCAAGAACACGTTCACTTCTCTTAAGGTACTGTATGTAGCCCCTGGCAAAGAAAGCAGGAGTCACAAAGGTAAGCAGCTGTGAAGGTAGATGCCAAGAAGCCTAGCTCTACTTGCTGGAGAAAATTCCTTTGTCAGGTGTGGCTGGAAAGCTGAGAAAATGTTATTTTTGGATTTGGCTCCAAGGCTGGGTAATCAGTAGGCAGTCTCAGTGTGGAGGAAAAGCAGAGGCAGAAGACAGCATCTCTTCTCTAGATTTCAATATTAGACCTAAAAGAACACTTTGGACAGTTTTAGTCTCTTCATGATCCAAAGTTCCTATCTTAATGGCAGGGGCAGGCTTTTGAAAAAAGATTATTTTCTTGTTCTTTTATTATTATTATTTTAAATTTTCCTGCTCTTGATCTACCCTAGTAGGAGGCCCATAAGAAAAACAAATCAAAACAGTCACTTGAAGCCTTAATAAGAAAACAGACTCAATTCCCAAGTCTGAAAAGTACTAAGTTAACTAAAATAAGTTGTGCCATAAACCTGCGGGTCATGCTTCTATGCAAGATGATCAAAGGATTTGCCTGTAAATGTGTATTGTACTGATTTTTAAAAATCATTTCACAGAAAACAACTTATTTATTGTTAAAAATATATTGATTTAAAAATGTGGGACACTTATAAAGTGTCCCAGTCCAGGATTTTACTGCAAAAAACAGCAGTACCTGGCACACACAGTAGATATTCGATATTTGTTTAATGGATAATAGATGGATGCCTGAAGAAATCTAGAATACAAGTAAAATATTAAGAATGTACACATGTGTAGAAAATAGTTTGCCTTTAATTGCATCCTTTTTTCTTCAAGAAAATTGAAAAGATACCAGATTGTTTTTTCTAGTGTGTGGCATCAACCACAAATAGCAAGGGAGTTTCAAAAACACAGAGCAAATCTTCACTGACCCACCTAGGAGCTGGGTGAGGTTCTGGTCACAAGGGGTTCAATAAAGAACTGAAAGCATTTGCCAAAAATTCACAGAAAATTTGAAAATCCTACCACTTTGAACTAGGCAAATCTGATTCCTTTTAACAGACAAGTTGCAGGGCACTGGGGTAGATATCTGGAGGAGGTACATTAGGTGCAGCCTTCAGTGGGTATAAAGAAACATGTGTGTTTGGCGGTTGAGGATGAGGGTGTGGGAGCTCTGTGGGGAGACACGGCAGGAAAGAAAGTCCATTCGAGTATATATCCACACACTACTCCTGCCTCCAGCCCCCAAAAAACAAAGAAGGGTCATTTAAGATTATAACTACATATAGTTCTTGGTTTCATTACTATAGCCTAAGAAAAACAGCATGACAGGTAGGGGTGGGTTGCTGGAACTCAATGCATCCCATTGGGAACAACAGGTAGCACTGGTGGACTTGAACTTTGACAGGATGATAAGGAGATGAGGAGGTAGGTGGTATGCTACTCAGACACATTCCTGGTCAACACTTGAACATCCCAGGTAAATGCCCAAAGGATACAAATAACAGCAAATTGATTCCACATAGAGATTTTATTTCACTCGTCAATTGGCAGTCTTCAGCCAAATGCCAAAATGAAAAGAGCAGGCACAAAGATTTTTGGGGAAAAAAGGGAAATAGCAACTGCAAAGAAGTATCAATACTTTCCTCATTTATCTAGATTTCTAGCAACTCTCTTAGTAAACATTTAAATCTTCTTTCATTAATGGAGATCAATGCTTCTGTAAGACATAGGAAACTGGACAAAGTTTAAAAATATTTGTAAGAACTAAAAATTGCTTAGGTTCATCCTGGTATATAGGATTTGTAAAAGAATCTCCAATACACAAGAATAGAAAATACCAATTGTTTCATGATTATAATGTAATGAAGGCATCAACTTCTCAACATCAAGACAAGTGAATGTGGAAATCAGCTAAGAAAAGAACTTTTTAGAATAAGAGAGCTTCTAAATCCTAGCCCAAACCATCATATAAAAGATAGTCTTTTAACAGTTTTTCATAAACAGAATGGTACATTTGTACCAAGTGCCTAAAGTCAGAACAGAATTTACTACCCCATGCTAAGAGCCTAATTTAAAATGGATAGTCTTTCCTATATTTTCCCCAAAGTACCTTTTAAAGGACTTGCTCTGCTATTCAAACAACTTGCAAATGCATCCAGTAAGTTGTGCTATAGTATTTATTCTCTTTCCTGTTATTGACTCAAGACCTATTTCTCACTATTTGCTTTGTGCTCATTCTTCTGCCAAATAAAATATTAATTGCATTTTTAGCTGCACTGCTGGTGATCAAAGAACTCTGATATGTCAAGCTAAACTGATAGGAATAGCATCCATTAACATATTTATAGGTTCAGAGTTCCTAGAGCATAATTACATCCATTAATTACTTGACAGTACTCTTAGTTACATGCTGAAAAAGAAAGGCATTTGCAGCTACACACTTTCACTCAGTGAAGTTTTTTCAAATAAAAATTCTCTCTAAAGAAGATTCTGTCTAAAGGAAATAAGGTCAAAAGGCTCACATCTCTATCTGTACCTAAGGCAAGATTTTTAAAAGCAACATTCACTAACTTTGCAAAAGAATGCACACAAAGTAAATGAGCTAACATAATGTGATTTCAAAGAAAAGCATATTTAAAATATTACGGAGACATGTAATTAATATTTTAGAGTTCTAAGAAAGACAATCACAAGCCAGGAATTCTTGAAGGGAAATCCAAGCAACGGTTTTTTACTTTCAAATAACTTCTTCAAATAGCACATAGGATCAAAGTATTTCCAATTACCTACATTTCTGAACATGAAATTCTAAATAAATAAATAAAAGCTGTCCTGTGAAAAAGCTCATGATATGTTGGAAATTAACAGAATAAACAATGATTGTGTGAATTCACCAGCTGTGCAGGTCCTGAAGCTGCCAGCTGCATTTAGCACATGTGTCATGGAAAGGACAGTAACACGCACTTGAATTCTCACGCCCAGTTAATCAACATGCAAAATGACAGGTTCCCATGATAACTTCAGCACCGGACACAAACGCGTTTTCTTTTCAGCCATGAATGAAGTCACTATGGAAAAAAACCCCATATACACACACACACGTACATACACCAGTTGGGTTCATGATTTCAGCAGGAACACAATCAGGATCTAAGAACAGAAAGCAAAGCCCAGTCTACCTGTCCCTGTCTGTCTATCTCTACATATTTCAGAGTTCTTTGTTGCCTGACAATCAATTGTAAAGGCGGTTACATTTGAAAGTAAAAATAAAAACAAAAACCATTAACCTGAGTTTATAGGCTACTGCAACGGACTTGAGGAGTGAATAGCAAGGAAATCACAGTACCTTTGGTAAGTCGCCTCAGAATTTGGCAACGGCATTTAAAAGAGACGGCTATCATTCTTGCTCACTGTTCGCCGTGGAAAATAGTCAGGGCTGTGATCTGGTGGCTGCAGCAGCAGCATATGAATTCCTTGCGCACATACCAGGAGAAAGGTAGTCCCAGCGGGGAGTGACAAAGCTTAATTCCTCTTGGCTGATGCAGAGGTCCCCTACATGTCATCTGGCAAAGCTGTGTCATTCACAACTCCGAGCACTCCTGCCCGCCACAGCCTCCTCCCTCCTTGCACCATCACAATGGCTTAGAAAGTGAGGCTGTTTCGATAGCAACAAAGCACCAAATTGTAGAAAGCAGGGATTACGCGGGGAGAGGAGCCATGCCATAAATCTAATACTCAACACGGAGCAATGCCTACAGTTTCAGGCAAAGGGCTCCGTTTTCCAGCCAGTTCAGCCCCCTCACTCCCTTCCCTTTCCGCCTCAGCATCAAGTCAGTGGGCTTAGGGGGTGTCATGTAACTGGAAATGCAAGTGAAATGCTTGCACTCTTACTTTAGGGTGAAATGTATGTTTCATACACTATGTTCTTTTAACAACAAAAAAGACACGCAAAGGAAGGAGGCAGTCCATCTCTGGGATGCAGTAGAGAGTAGTATTTCTGCCTATAGCGGAGAAGCAGCCCTGTGACAGAGTCAGAAAGAAAGAAGTCTGTGGCACTTTACTAATCTATGAGGGTCAAGTCAGCCTAGATGGAGAGAGGAGATGCAAGAAGGGCTCCTGCAAGGCGATCGCCTGGCAGATGGAGTCCCAGCCCCTTTAATCATGCTTTCCAAAAAAGGACTCGGCTGGAGAGCAAGTCAAGACAGTTTCTAAAGATACCAGGAACAAAAGCAGACAAGGCCAAGTATTTCTATTTTTAAAGTACCTGATTATCCCATCTGCCAAACAACCCGCCCCCAAGCCCATTCTTCTCCTTATGCAAATAAAAGTCTTGTGACAGAGACGATATTGGGGAGTATCTGCTTCAGTGGAGTGCAGAGCAAATGAACAGACCCATTCTCAAAATGACAGGAAGGCGGAGCACCGCTCTCCCTCTGCCAGCACCAGCCGACTCACTATACAGTCAATACAAACTAACATTTGGTATGGAATTTTAATTCAAGAACCTCAATGAACATTCAAAAAACAAAGGGAAAAAAACCATAGCTGGCCAGGAACTCAATTAGTCAAAAGAAAAAGATATATCACTGCCCAAACTATTTGATTAGTATTTCTAAAACTATAAAATTATTCATGCAGTCTTATTCTCTACTCTAGAGCTGCTAAAAAAAAAAAAAAAAAAAAAAAAACTTTCAAGCTGGTTTCTAAAATAACTCCCAATAATCCAATTTGAAAGACAGAGCTTTTTCCTCTCCATTCATAAATGCCATAATAAGTCAGTTTCAACCAACTGAAACTGAAATGCATATGCTTCCTACTTGGCATCCAATAGAAGAGTTTAATGTTATAAGCATCTACTTTGAAGGTCTCTGAAATTCTCTTACCAAGGATGGTCTAGCTAGAGCAGTCAGCCACCACTAATCAATAGGAAAGTATATTAAATGGATTGTATTGCAGAATCAAATTTTTATAACTGTTCCAATGAGCATAAATCTGTTTTTGAATGTCAATCCATTTCATTTTTGTCTCTATTAGGTCATTCCCTAGTAATGGTTTAGCCTCCTTGATTATTTTTTCTTTAAATAGAGATGTACCAAAAAAAAAAAAAAAATAGAGATGTACCTTAGTGGTAGAGAACTGGGTTATTAGTGAAAATGAGATAAACATTTATAGTTAGCTCTTTAAAAAGATCCTTCCTCAAATTTGTCTCTTCAAAGCTAGGCACTCAGAATATGCAGCTGTCAAACAGCATTAATAAAACCTTGCCAGTGGAACATCACCACTCCAGCCCATTTTATTAATGTCTATTCAAATAAAACTCAAAATCATAAAGAAATTTCTTGCCCCCTGATATTATGCCTACTCAGATCTAATTTGCTTTTTCTTTAAGGCTAAAATAATCAAATATTTCCTCTTTTACTAAAATGTTCAATTTTTTTTTTTTTTAAGGCTCTGTGCTCTGGCCCTAGAAAGATCTTCAGAACTGCTAAAACACTGTTCTCCTGGCAGGAGAAATAACCCATCCTAGAGCTGTGAACCGCTTCCTAGGTGGCGCTAGTGTAAACAATGTGCTGGCCCATGCCAACGCAGGAGATGTAAGATATGCTGGTTTGATACCTGGGTCTGGAAGATTCCCTGGAGAAGGAAAGAGCAATCCACTCCAGTATTCTTGCCTGGAAAAGTCTATGCACAGAGAAGCCTGTCACGTTACTGTCCGCAGGGTCACAAAGAGTCAGACATAGGCTGAGCAACTAACACACACAGGGATCAAATTAGCAGATTTTTTTTTTTTCCTCTTTGTATATTGCGCTTGCGAATCCCGCTGAGCTCATGCTCAAAGCTCTAGGAATCTTACAGAAAGAGAGCCATCCTGGAGGAGCCCTTTGTCAGGGAATGAAGGGACCGGCCATGTGTTTTCTTCCACGGGTGGTGTCTCTAGTCCTCCGAGATTTCCCTGGGAGCCATTCCCAGCTCAGTCTACTTGCCCTAAGTACCTCCTTCACCTGTCAGCTACTTTGATTCCAGCCTCGGATCCTGAACAAATGCTGGCAAAATGCCTTCCATTAGTGTGAATCTTTAATTTTTTTTTAAGTCTCTAACTTTACTGACCTGCATGCAAAGGTCGCAAGTGGCTCAAGGCAGCCGGTAGAACTAGATCATAGGCTCCTGCCATAAGCCACCGCTGGGGGGAGGAACCTCCCTTTCTCAGTCACAGACTAACGTCAGCAGGTGTGCCTGGAGCCCCGTAATCAATCACATTCCTTACGGTGACTCAAACTTAACAACATGCTCTTAGAGGGTCAATAAGTGAGGACTATGGAAATGTAAAATCAGGCGAAATTATACAAAATATATCTCTGATTAAGTTCCAAGGTGATCTGCAGAAGAGTTGCTTCATGACGTTTACTCCTCTTTAAAAAAAAAAAAACTCAATATATGGAAATATGAGCTTGCTGGATTCAGGGTTGCTTATTATCTTAAAATGATAATTCTTATTTCATTTCAGAAAAAGCATAGAGAGTTTCCCTAAGGTATAATGCAAGTATACTTTGTCTTATACACATACATTTTATATCTATATCTATACCTATATTTATATAAAACAGATTACTAAGTATACCTACACACAGTGTATCATTGCAGTAACTCTGTTACAGGTTTTTGTTCCAGATAAGGAATGTAGTTCTCAGAGAAAGGACTTTTCATCACAGTCACTCAGCTAGCAAGTGGTAAAGAAAAGGGAGGAATCCAAGACTTCTCAACCTAGATGAATCTGCCTTTTACTCTTTGCTTTTTCACTGTGTCCCTTTTGCATTGATAGAAAATGTGATCCCTATTACAGGGGTTACACTTCAATTAATAGAGAACTTTCACGTGCAATTACATTTTATGATAGAAGGCTAACCTAAAGTCCATCACTTCTTCCACTGCCCCCTCTGCCCCGCCTGTGCCCACACCCCTCTGAAGCACAGGTGATGTGTCCAGAATCACGGAGACTAGAAAGAACCAGAAACCAGGGGCAGTTAAGACAAGAACTTCAGGTTTCCCACCAAGTGTCTACCACAGGAGTCCATCGTGACTGGACAGTTTGCCCATCCTGACTGGTTGCCGTCTTTGTCATGCTTGTTTCTAAATATTATGCATATCACTGCCAATGACAGTGTGATACCAATTTCATCCCAGGAGAGGGGAGGGGAGTGAGGACAAAATAACCTTTCATACTGGCTCAAGCATTCCAAGATCTTCTCTAAACCATTCCACAGCACCATCGGTAGGTAGGAACAATCCGCCATTCACACACACACACACAATTTTATTCTGCTAATTTTTTCATCTCTTTAATTCTTCTCCATTAAATTCATTCTTCTATATAGTATCTCCACTCCCATAATAAACACTGCTGTTTGCAGACTCTGATTCTTAGCAAGAAAGAATAATCATAAAACATAAATTATCTGCCATATACCTACGCCTGGGGAACTCATTTAAAAAATAAAAACATAACAATGAGGTTAACTCCACAAATAAATACCACACCATTTTACTTCATTAGAATCAATTTGACTAAAGTACTAAAATAATTTGTACCTTCTTTGTTTCAATTTATTTTATAACACTCTGTTACAAAACACACTTGATAGATTCCATTTGATTATTTCACTTCAAAATGGTAAGAATGTTTAGGTCATTATTTAAACAGCACAGGACATCCTGAATTGGCTAGTATTGAATACACTGATTTCTTTTCCATCACAGTTAATAACTATTAGGCATTTCCAAGTGTTCAGGGTATCTTATAACACAGTGTTCATGGCAGTCTTAAAATGTGGCCACAACGCCCTTTTTAGCTTTTTACGGACAATCTCACTGACTCACTGTAAGCTTATTATAATCTGCTGCCATAGATAACTAATGAGAACCTATTGTATAGCACAGAGGAGGGGGGAAAGGTACAACCTGTTTGTAGGACATAAGTTAATCTCAAAAATGCATTCCAACATATATTGCTGCTGCTAAGTCGCTTGAGTTGTGTCTGACTCTGTGCGACCCCATAGACGGCAGCCCACCAGGCTCCCCCGTTCCTGGGATCCTCCAGGCAAGAACACTGGAGTGGGTTGCCATTTCCTTCTCCAATGTATGAGAGTGAAAAGTGAAAGTGAAGTCGCTCAGTCGTGTCCGACTCTTAGCCACCCCATGGACTGCAGCCCACCAGGCTCCTCCGTCCATGGGATTTTCCAGGCAAGAACACTGGAGTGGGGTGCCATTGCCTTCTCCAGTGCATGAAAGTGAAAAGTGAAAGTGAAGTCGCTCAGTCGTGTCCGACTCTTCGAGACCCCATGGACTGCAGCCCACCAGGCTCCTCTGCCCGTGGGGTTTTCCGGGCGAGAGCCCTGGAGGGGGT